GATATCTTAATTACACCTTTAGACTATAGCTTGATGTCTCAATGTACAACCCACACTCCAGTGAAAACACAAAACAATTGTATCTGAAAAGGGCTCATTTTATACATATATATGTGTGTGTGTGTGTGTGTGTGTGTGTGTATGTATGTATATCTCATTATAACATTTTAACATGATACATTAATTTGTCATCTGTCATGTCACTATGATGATTGAAAAAGATATCTGGGAGAATTACAGGCTTTGGGATGTGAACATTTTGGTGGTGGGAAGAGAAAGTTTTGGAACCTGAGATCCAGCAAGAAAGTATCTGGGTGGACAGGGTGCCAGGGAAGGAACTCCAGCCACCAAAGGGAGCAGGCAGGGAGAGGTGGACCCTAGGGCTGCTGGACTGTCCACAGGGAGATGAGGAAGGAAGAATAAAAACAACTGTCAATGTGACCCTATACTGGATCACAAATATGAAAATGTGGTATTTGTCTTGCACTGTTTGAATTCCTATTGTTTCAGCTCTGCCCGAGCCATCCCTGGCAATGGGCCCTAGGACTATAGGAGGTAATCTTAAGATATAGTGTCACCTCCATTGGACTGCATCCAAAGCACACCCAACTGTGAGAGCTCAAGTCTGATGCAAGGCTGCTCGGTGAGCTGCAGGCACAGCTGGAAGAACCTCAGGCTGAGCTGACCCAGTGTAAGTAAGTGCTCCTCCTAACACACACACAGACACACACATGCACTCTCTCGAACAGCCATCCCTCTCTGGAGCACAGTTTGCCTTCTTTTCCTGGTCCTCTTCCTGGACTATATCCCTGGTGGGAAGATGCTTACAGGCCGATTTCCCAGTTGCACAGTAAAGAGGACACCTCACCTGGAATACTGGATTGGAGAACGTTATCTTCTGCGCGCTCTGCAATCACGACATGTCGCTGATGAGATCCATTATAAATAAAGTAAAACTCAGCATCTTTAGGAAGATACACATTTTTGCCAAACTTCGCATAGACCGTCATCTGCCCCTGAAAAATGAATAAGTTGGGGCATCGTCACACTTCCTCATTCTGGCTCTAAGAAACCACACTAAAAAGGAACCCAGGTCCCAAACGGGGGTGTTTATCACGTTCACTTCATGTGAGCGAGCTCAAATACTACGAGGCCTTCTTTCCAACATTTTGGATGACAGGGAGATGCTTTCTGATACATTGAAGTGTGGATATCAGAGCTGGTTTGCTCTGTTCTTAAAGTTGAAAAAGTTTGGAGCAAAGGGAATAATTTTTTTTAATTTAATAGATGTGAAAATGTGATACTTGGTTTTTACCCTGTTTGAATTCCTATCTGGTGAACACCATTGCTTATATTAATTTTTTCTTTGAGATACTGCCATGGCATAAAGGTTCAAAATAATTATTCTTTAGCTATGGCCTTACTCTGTACTGGATCACAGTCAGTTTTAAGAACCTTAAATACTTGCAAATGTTGCCAAATAACTAGCACCACAGGCTCCAACGCTTGCTGTGCTTTTTCCGATTGCAATTTGTCTTCTCTGAGTGATTTCCAAGTCCCCTTTCATCGGCTTGGCCTGATACTTTCCCTTGAGAGCTTCTATTTGGCACAAAGCCCTAATAAGTGTCCTGGTCCCAAGGAGAGGAGCTGCCCTGTTGAGTCACCGAGGCACTGTGAGGAAGGCAGGAATGCCAAGGAAGTGGGCAGCAGACTGTGCTCTCCAGTATATTACCATCCAGAGGCTGTGGAGAGGGGCTACATCAGCAGGGCTATAGTCAAGGAATCAGCAGCAATGGATGAGCCTGCCAGATGGTCTTGGGGCCTCAGAGTATTCAGGACACTCCCTCCCCTCAAACAAAAAAAAAGGCAATACAAAAGGGGGCCTCCAGGGAGAGGGTACATTCCGCCCAGCCTATGGGAGTGGCAGGGAAATGGAAACCAGGAGGTGGAAAGGGTCGCCCACTTTGGAGGGCCTCCAGAGCTTGGCCCAGCATGGAGAAGCATCTGGGCTTTTGTGTGCTTGCCCAACAAAAACAAAGCCACCCTCCGAGAATTCCTCACCCTGTGACAGGGGAGAAAAGCGAACAGAGAAAAGTCTACCCGGTCTCCTCAACATCTGTTTGCCTTTGATGGGTATTACCATGATATTCCAGAGGAGATTAATAAGAGGACAATCAGCATCAAAAACACAATCGGTGTGGAGCTCCTCTTTCCAGTAACATAGTTATTTCTTCTATATTTTTAAAAATAAAAAGGCTATGTTTTTCTAGTCATTTGCACTCCATGACACACATNAATATGTACACTAGAAAAAGATGCCTGAGCACGGAAGAGATTCTGAACTGCTTAGCGTAAAACTCTACTCAGTTGAAGGGAAGGGACCAAGATGGAGACATAGGAGTCTTCTGAACCTCCCTCCTCCTATGGAAGCGCCAAATGTACAGCTGGGCGCAGAGCAAGTCCCTGAGAGACATCAAGAAACTAACTGAATGACTCCTACACACAAGACGAATGAGAAGAGACCCACACCGAAATGGATAGGAAAAGCTCAGACACACTCTCATCATAAACCCCATTCCCAGCACAGAGCCCTAAAATCAGGAGGGAACTCCCAACCCCCAGCATCTCCCTAAGGAGTCAAGGGTTTGGATCACATATCTAATACCCCAACTTTTAAGGCTCACACCTGAGGGATGGGCCCCCACATTACCTAGCTATGAATGCCAAAAGGGTTTGCATCCCTGAGTCCCACAAGACTATCACAAACAAAGAAGCAGTTCTTAATGGTCACCCCAGCATGAACCACAGCTGTCTCCCCAGGGCTCGGCATAGAGGGAGCAGGCAGAAACACCCATCTCCTAGTCTTTCTCTGGAAGGGATCTGACTGCATACAAGCTATTGCCTGCGGGTCCCGCTTCTAAACAGCATGCATCTAGGGGCTGGCTGGACCCCAGGGGAGCCAGAGGGTATTTTCCCCCTTCTCACTCAATTCACTCCAACAATAAAGCCAGATCACAAGCATCTCTCTGGAAGGAGCTAGTACACATGTCTGGTCCCCATCTTTTACAGCTGCCACCCAAGGGGCAGGTTCTCGGATCACCTGGTTCTGATAGCCAATGGGCTTGCATTCACAAGGACTGTAGTGGATAAAGAAGCAGCTAATGGGTGCTCACTTGAGTACTCGCTGCAGTTATCCCACCAGGGTTCAGCACAGAAGGAGCAAGCAAAAGAAAGAAAGAAAAAGAAAGCTTATCTCCCGGTCTTTCCCTGGAAGGGGTTTCGCTGCATATTTTCCCAGCTTCCGCCTTTTAATCAGCCTGAATCTAGGTGTTGAGTGAGATCCTCCCCTTCAGCACACTGATGGGTCTTGGTACACCCTTAAGTACTAGGGGCCACTAAGAACAAAGACGGCAACTTGGACAATCACAAAGGTTTGAGAGGTGACCATAGGCTTGGGCCAGACTGATTGACGAGTTTCATTTCCTACATAAGACCAGCCTGTCTAGACGGGGAGAGGTGGTTATTTTATCTAACGCCTATAAATAGGTGTTATAGGCTATTCGAAGGTCATGGGAAATAAAGAAATAAAAGAGGATATTTTCCAAACAAAAGATAAATCTCCAGAAATCGATCTTAACGAATGCAGATAAGTTATTTATCTGATAGAGAGTTCAAAATGATAGTCATAAAGATGCTCACTGAGGCCAGGAGAGCAATGCACAAGCAAAGCGAGAATTTCAACAGTCAGAAGATATTTCAGATGGGCACTTGTCTTCCTAGGGAGACCACCTCATAGACGGTGTAGATGCCTGAGCACTGTGCTATATGCCTGAAGCTGAATAATATTAAATGTCAACTGTAATTTAATAGTTGTGGAGTACAGCATAGAGAATAGAGTCAATGGAATTGTAACAGCTATATACGATGTCAGAGGGGTAGTAGATTGGGAGAGGGGGTTATCACTTTATGAGGGGTGTAAGTGTCTATTACATTGTTTTGTACACCTGAAACTAATTAAAAATAAATAAATAAAAAGGGTCAGAAAATATTAAAAAGCACCAAACAGAAATCACAGAGGTGAAGAATATAATAGCTGTAATGAAACATACAATGGAAGGGTTCAACAACAGACTAGATTAGTGGAAGGAAGATCAGCGAAATTGGAGACAGGGTGGTAGAATTCATCCAATCAGAGGAGCAAAAAGGAAAAAGGATATTAACCCTGTGCCTTAACACTCAAGTTGTAGAGAAGTTCCATTACAAGTCTAGGCTACAGGAAGTGCTGCCTCCATTACTATAAACTGTTCTTAGAGAAAATTTTAAAACGCTCCTAGAAATTGTCAAGGAATTGTTTACAATAACAGGATTTTATCCCTTTGCCTGTAGCTTCATTTGCCCAGACCGAGTGCAATTTTCTTTCTGCATATGTACAGACAATACACTCTCTACATATGGAAATCCATTCACATCCACCCACAAAAGCCAACTTTTACTGAGACCTTATTATGTTCAGACATTGTTCTAGGAGCTTTGCCATACAGTATGTAATGTAACCATCACAGCAAGCCAGTGAAGTGGGTACTGTTATGCCTCATTTTATAAATCACACCTTTTTGGCATAAGAACTAAAATAACTTGCCCAGGAGGTCTCATAGGCTCCTTGCTCTTCATTGCCTGATGACTACCAATTTGGAAATGGGGTAGCAATATCCCCTTCTCACAGCAAGAAAACATGTAGCCTAAAGCAGCTGGCTCAAGAGCCTGCCACCAAGAACAGTCCTTTCCTCCTGAGGCAAAGCTCTTCACCTCCTGGAACAGAGGAGCATCAACCAACCCAGAGATGAGGAGCTCAGGATCTCAGAGAAACCAGCCACATCAGATTGAGGCTTGGGTCAAAAGTGGGCAGGAAAACCCACCCAGGAAAACAGACAATAATGTGTAAGACATATTCTGAACTTGACATAGAGAGGAGACATGCACATTTTCTGGTGAAGACCCACCTTCAAGTGAAGTATTTCCCAAGACAGTCCACCCAAGAGGCAACTCCAGTTGAGTCAGAGCCAGCACGAGTTCCTCGTCCAAGGCAGGCAATGCTCCCACCGTCAGGGCAAACGGGGTCAGCAGGGTCTGATGGCTACTGGCTGTGAGGCGATCAGCCTGGGTGACCAGCAGACGGGCCAGCCTGCAGGCCATGTTGTCCACGTAGGTCACGGAGCTGGAGCCCATGGTCACTGGGGAGTACCCTTCCGAGCAGAGGCACACAGACACCATCACGGACTCCTGCAACCCATGGCCTGGACGATAAGACAGTGAACAGTTCACACAGAGTCTATAGGAGATGCTCGCATAGTGGTCAGCAGTCTCACTGCACTGCCTAAGCAGACCACGTGCTCCAGGACACTAAGGCAGAAGGAAATGCCACCAGTTATCTTTAAATGCTGCCAAGCCTGTGGACCCAAGTGAAAGCTGACTCCATCTTCTTCCAGAGACTCCTGATTCTTAAACTAACCGTTATAAGCTTCGAGCATTTCCGTGTCTATTCTCCCAAGATTACCAAACACTATTATTTGGCATACCTTCACCTTTTATATCTACCCCAACCCCTGAATTCAAGTTTGTCATCCTAAAGGTCTTTGCCATTTTCCTGCTCTGCCATTTCCTCGAGTCACATGTTTTCGT